AATATGAAGAGTGACTTGGTGGGATATGTTGACTCTGATTATGGTGGTAACTTTTTAAAGCATAGGCCGCAGGCGTGCTACATATTCACTTTATTCGGATGTGCCATCAGTTGGAAGTCAACATTAAAAGATATCATTTCTTTGTCTACAACTGAAACTGAGTACATGTTCATGATGGAAGGAATAAAGGATGAGATATGATTGCAAGGGCGTATTCAGTGCCTTGGTCTGAAGGTGGAGAAACCTTTCTTGTATTGTAACAGTTAAAGTGCTTTGAGTCTTGAAAAGAATCTTGTGTATCATGAGAAGATGATGCACATTGATGTCAGGCTGAATTTCTTTCGGGATATTCTGGAAGGAGACAAGTTTTCCATACTAAAGATTGATACAAGGTTAACCCAGCAGATATGTTGACAAAGTCGTTACCTATGGAGAAGTTCAAGCTTTGCTTGGACTTGGTTGATATCCGCAGGAGGTAGGTCCCTTCGGGGATGAATGGTAGGATGGGAGAGGAAATTCTTGTTTGAGGTGGAGTTCAGAGAATGTTCAAGTCAAGGTGGATATTGTTAAATGTGACTCCGGTATTTGGAGTATTTGGATCATTTTCATGAAGCATTTAGAGGACTTGGAACTCAATGGGGAACTAGGGATTCATGGAGCATGTGACAAAGGAACGGATCTTCTAAATGAGGAATGGAGCATCAGACAAAGGAACTGATCAAGTACCAATGGAACGGATCGTGTACAAGGGGGGTTTAGAGCACCTGGAAGGAGTTTTAAGCACTTGGAAGAGGTTTGGAGCAGATGGAAAGGATATGGATCAACAAGGGGTCCTTTTTTGAGCCACATGATGAAGAGATGGGTTAAGAGGGATGCTATTGAGCCGTCTTATTCTCCTCTTGAGCCATCTTGTTTTCTTGTTGAGCCATGCATGGCTTTATTGAGCCATGCATGTGCCTGTTGCTCATGGTGATATTGTTTCTCCAAGATTGATGTTGTGCGCCATACTTGATGTTCTTGTACCATTTAGATCCCTGTTGTGCCAACTAGGGTTGCTGTTGAGCCATGAAGAAGTTGTTGCGCCATCACGGACCATCTTGGAACATGATGCACCATATTGATTCCTCTGTTGTTCCATGTTGATCCAAGTATGCCTAGAAGATGATAAAGCTCAAGAATGTTCCTGAAGATGCTGCATGGCGGATTGTGAACGGTTGACAACCTTCATGTGCCTATGGGCTAATGGGCTTGGCCTATTAGGGTTTTAGGTCTAATCCCTTAAGTATAAATAGGGATGCATGCTAGGTTATTTTGTATCTTGAATTCTAGAGTGATAGGAGAATCTCTATGTAATTTTACTTGTAACTTCTATGTTGAGAGCTCTGAAATAAAGAATACTCCTCTCCTGCCCATGGACGTTGGTCACCTTGACCAAACCACGTAAATACTATGTCTTGTGTGCTTTTGGTTGTGCTAGTTATCCGCTTTACTTCTTAACAAATATAAATAGCATTGTGTGTTCAGTTCAATTAACAAACCAATTCCTTCTATTTTTTCCCTCTTTTATCCATTTAGAAGAGCTACCCTCTCCCCGAGCGGTCCTGAGCCTCTCGACGCCTTCAACAGCAATACCCAGAGCCAGCCAAAGCACAATTCAAGGATGAGTTTCACGACCCCTTTTTACTGATTTTCCATAGGGGGAACACATGCTTAGATAATAATTTATTTTATGATTTATTGTAAATTAATTATATTATTATTGGTTATTCGTATTTATCTAAATAACTAGCCGCTACTCTGTAACACCGACATATTCGGGCTAGTCAATTTAGAGACAACAAGAATCAAAAATGAATTTTTAATAGAAGATTATTTAGATTAAATAATCTTAACCAAGTTATATTATATGTCACAAGGTTATGTACACAGAGAACGTCGAAATTCGAGTTATAACGAAGAAGTTATGACCTGTCGAACTTTTATGGGAAAACTAGCACGACACCGGTAATCGTAAAAAGCGAATTTACAATAAAATACTTTCTAGCCTTATCGATCTAAAAGAAAGTCATATTATATGTTAAATTGAGAGAGTCCATAAAAAGAACGTCCAAATCTAACTTCTTATGAGGAAGTTACGATTTGTCTAAGATTTAGCATAACAGTAAACAGCTTGGAAATTCGAATATTAGGTGGTTGATTTTTAGCCAAAATAATCTAAACGAGAAATGTAGATATCATTAACAGGAGTTAAACGATAAAAAGACATTCGAAAACGGAGCTCATATGCGAAAACGATCTTAAATTTAACAGTACGAGGAGATTGTATTGTTAAATGTCCGCGTAAAATTCATAACTTCTACATACGGACTCTGTTTTCGTCTGTTTTTTTTACCGTTGAGTTCCTATTAATGAGATATTCAATTCTCATTTAGGTCGTGCAGGCCAAAAACCGCTTGGTCTAAAATTCGATTTCGGGTTGTGCACTTCTAAGCCAAATCTTAGAAAATTCATAACTTCTTCATACGAAATCAGATTTATGCGGTTTTTTTTTGTTGTATGTTCTCGGTTTAATTTATACTACAAATTTTGTTTATATTTCTATGGCTAAAAAGTCCTCCATAATAGATTCACTATTTACGTCTCCCGGTGACGTGTCGGTTTTGCCGGAAAATTTCAACGGACCATAACTTCTTCATTACAACTCGGATTTCAACGTTCTTTATATGTACGGAACCCTTGAGACGTATTCTAAAACTTGGTTAATATTATTTATTCTAAATAATCTTTTGTCAAAAGTTGTTTTCGACCCCTATTATCTCTAAATTGACTAGCCCGGATCTACGGGTGTTACATCGAGCATGTTGGATTTCCCTCTAAAGGTCGAGATTGTGGACGACCGGTCTATGCGACCATCAGAGGTCTTCTGGGATTTTGTTTTGAGGTTGTTAGAACAACGTTATCTAGTGGATTTGGTTCCCATACCGTTGAGGGGGAACAAGGTTATTACTGGTATGGATTGGCTAAGCCCCAACAGGGCAGTGATCTATTGCGTGCAACAGTTGGTTCAGATCAGGACCCCAGGTAGGGGAGAGCTGGTGATTCAAGGCGAGAGGCCACAGCGAGGACCAGCTTTATGTTCGGCAGCGAGGGCTAGGCGCTACCTTCAGCAGGGCTGCGCAACATACGTCGCCTATGTTATGGACACCCGGGAGGAAGGAGGGGCAACGGTGAGTGATGTGTCAGTAGTGAGAGAGTTTTTGGATGTATTCCCCCGAGGAGTTGCCCGAGATACCTCCGGAGAGGCCGGTGGAGTTAAGGATCGACCTAGTCCATGGTGTGGCTCCGATAGCCAAGGCACCGTATCAGTTGGCTCCTCCTGAGATGTAGGAGTTGTCTACACAGCTGCATGAGCTGTTAGACAAGGGTTTCATTAGACTAAGGAGTTCACCCTGGGAAGCCCCGATTCTATTTGTGAAGAAGAAGGATAGGTCACATCGAATGTGTATAGATTATCGGGAGCTGAATAAGGTAACGGTGAAGAACCGTTACTCACTCCCAAGGATTAATGATCTCTTTGACCAGTTACAAGGAGCATCTTGGTTCTCCAGGATTGATTTGTGTTCGGGGTATCATTAGATGAGGGTTAGAGATGAAGATGTACAGAAGATTGCTTTTCGGACGCGTTATGGCCACTATGAGTTCGTGGTGATGCCCTTCGGGCTCACCAATTCTCCTACCACATTCATGGATCTCATGAACCGCGTGTGCAGACCGATGATGGATCAGTCTGTGATAGCTTCATGAGGATCACTTGTGAGAGGTTTTGAATACTTTGAGGAGGGAGAGCTTGTGTGCTAAGTTCTCCACGTATGAGTTATGGTTGCGCGAGGTGCGGTTTCTTGGGCACCTTGCACTACAAGAAAAATACCCTTTAATGACGTGCAAACAATGACACTCGCTGATTTACGATACGCATTTTTGTGTACCCTTAAAAATAATGTCAGCCTTCCAAAATTTGAAGGATAGAGGGCACGCATTTTTGCGTGCCCTTTAATTAGTGTCTCAATAAAAAAAAATTAAAAACACGGAGGGCGCTTTATGTTAAATGCGCGTCCTCTGTCGGTGTCGCTTTATAATTTTAGTGAAACGCGCCTTGAGAAGATAACGGGGGAAAACAAAACCTTAAAATTTTGAAAAGCCGCCTTTCTTTTCTACCTCTATTTTTTTGCATCGACTCTCCCCTCTTTTTTCTCTATTGTGAGAAGTGACGGAAAGAAGGGAGACTGGGATGGATCTGCCGATGATGATGAATGGAGGTGCTTTCCGGTCAATTTCGGAGACGGCATTGTCGATTTCGATGGTTGTTTCCCTCTTGCCCTAATTATCTTATCGATGCTCCTTCCTTACCCGTCCCGACTGCCGCCTTACCCTAGTTATCGACGCCCCTTCCTTCCTTCCTCACTTGCCTTCTTTTTCTTCTTCTTCTTCTTCTTCTCTCTCTCTCTCTCTCTCATCACCGTTTCCATATCCTTCCATCTCAGGTCATGTCTTCACAAATTTGATGAAAAGAACTAGGGCTTTCAACCACATCTCAGTAAACGTAAGTAACCTTTTCTTGTCTATACTTCATCGGTTCTTTGCTTGAAAATATCTCCATAAGTCGATCCCGAAGCTCACCCGTGTCAATCGGACATCAAAACGTCCGTTGAAAGACAATCACATCGTCGCCTCGAATCACACACTGCCAGGCAGTGGAGTCATCAAGGATTTGAGAGATTAACTGATCAATTTGAGAGATTAACTGATCAAGAATTTATAATTTAATCCATGTCTTACTTACTACATAACAGAGTTGAACCACCACTCACCAAGGATTCAAAGGGAATTGCTCGAGCTCCAGGTCTGATTCTAGTTCTTCCATAATGATTAGAAACATAATTAACTCTACAGAAAAAATCATCTCTGTACCTATATTTAAAACATTTAATTTAAGTGCAAAAATGCAAAGTGTTGATGGAATTCATGTAATAGTTAGGTTAGCGAAGTTGTCAGTGGACAAAGTCCTGCCAGCACCATGTAGCACTTCAGTTTTGTATCCAGAAATAGGAGGGAACCTCCATTGCTTCACTGCCATAACCTCTTGTGCTGTACTTGACATTCTCACACCTCCGTATGAAGAATATTCCAGAAGAAAATGTACTTATTACCGAGATTACCCCTACTCCAGTTTTGGTAAGTTGAGCATAATCTGTTACTTGATTTTGTGAATTTGTAAAGGTTGTTGTATTCTTTATTGGAATGACAGGAAGTGGAGATGAGTTGATTGATGGAAAAGAAGATGAATATGCATGGTTAGAGGAGATAGATGCACCAGATGATCTGTATATGAGATAGGGCATCTATGCGGGCCTGCCTATTCGGATGTAGGGATTGTTATTGGGGGTTAGTGCTTACAGGACTTATGATGATTTATTCCATCTTGAAATCCTTAGGAGGGTATAATCGTCTAAACTGCTCCTTTATTTTTACCTGTAACACTTTTATTTCCACTTTTTCCCTTCATTTTTTATGTATGAATTGTTCCTCAACTTCAAGATTATGTGGAATATATGGGCTCTGTTGCACGTGTGATTCTTGTGCCATCTATACGCGATGCACATCATGACTATGCATTTCCTCAGGTAAATTTATCATTTTATTGTGAATGAAAGAAATATTTATAAATATTACAGTAAGTTACATGTTGGTCCCTGAGTCAAGCAAATGCAGCCACAGTAATTTTTTACTTAACTTTTTGTTACCCGTGATGTAAAATGACGTATATGCCCTTACAGGGGATGCAGGTTACCAAGATGTAATAGACTGCTCATATGCCCTTTCCAATGTATGTAAAGTGTAAACCTCATTGTGTTCATTTATTTCTATTTACACAATGAAAATAATACTTATAATTCACAATTCTACAGTTACTTCAAGTAAGCCCAGATGAAATCTTGATAGAATCAACTGAGGTAATTGGTCAATGAATAAAGAAGGTAAATAACACAGCAAGTTTATTTATAGTCAATTTCTTGACCACTTGTTTGACTTATCATATTATGTGCAGGAGCCACTTCTTAATTCACTTCCTAAGTTAATTAGTTTGCTTTCATCAAGTTTCAAGGGGTAATGTTGTAATTTGTAACTCCTTGCATTCCTTTCCTTTAAATGTTAAATTAATTATCTATTCTACTTTTGGTTTGGAGAGCAATTTCTGCTGATGTAGAAATAACAACAGCTGATATTGTGAGCAAGAGTGTAGCAGTAGAGTTTGAGGTATCATATTTATATTTATTTGCTTACTTTTTTTATTTCATTTAATATCGTTTTATTAAAAAAAAAGTTATTTTTTTAAGGTTGGTGGAAGCGGTATAAGAATCGGGGGAATGGCAAAAGGTTCCGGAATGATCCACCCAAACATGGGAACACTTCTTGGTGTATGTACTAATATTGCCATATTATTAATTTATTACCACAAAATGTTTTGTAAAAAAATTTTAATTGATTCAAAAAAAAATGTCAATTTTCAGGTTATAACGACTGATGCTCGTGTAGATACTGACATCTAGCGAAAGATGGTTCAGGTTGATGTGAATCGAAGTTTCAACCAAATTACTATAAGTAGTAGCATCATTAAAGGGTATTTTAGTCGTTTAACCAACAGTGACATGTGTGTATTAATAACTAAAATATTGCAGGTAGATGGGGATACTAGCACCAATGATACCATTATTGCTTTGGCTAGTGGTTTATCTGGATCAAACAGGATATCATCATTACACAGTTATGAAGGAAACCAACTACAAATGTGCCTTGATGCGGTATGTTTAAATTACCAATTTACCCTTTTGTTGTTACATGCATTTTACAAGTGTTTTTTTTGTTAAGGTAATGCAAGGGCTTGCCAAATCAATAGCATGGGATGGAGAAGGGGCAACATGTTTGATAGAGGTCTTTTTTTTTAGGGGGGGGGGGGGGGAAGGGCAGAAAGGTATTTATGGAAATGAGAAATTATGCAGATGACAGTAAGTGGTGCAGGGAGTGAAAGTGAAGCAGCAAAGATTGCACGTTCAGTGGCATCTTCTTCACTTACCAAGGCATGATGGTTAATATGTTGTTATTTCAAGGTGAAATAACTACTTCCAATGATATAATGATGATTTTTTATGGTTGGTTTTATCAGGTGGTAATTTATGGTAGGGATCCAAATTGGGGGCGGATAGCCTGTGCTGCAGGGTGTGTGGGGATTTTTTTTTTACTCAAATGCCCTTAGAATAGCACTTGGAGATATTCTACTTATGGAAGGAGGCCAGCCACTTCCATTTGATAGGTAACAGTAACACCATACATGATACATGATACATGATAATTGAAATACTGAAAATGCGGGAGTGTTCCAGGGTAGCAGCTAGTAATTACCTGAAAGAGGCTGGTGATGCTCATGGCACTGTCAAAATTCAGATATCCATAGGTAACTTTATTATTAAGTCATTCTTTCTGCATTAAATCAAAAAGAAACTTGTGTTATTTATTTGTTTATTTTAGGTGGAACGTGAACAGGGGATGGACCAGGAACAAGGTTAGCATGGGGATGTGATTTAAGTTATGATTATGTCAAGATTAATTATGCAACCTCTTTAGGCCCGGGCAGTCTTGATAAATGTTGGTCAAGCAAATGCAGCCACGGTAATTTTTTACTTAACTTTTTGTTACCCGTGATGTAAAATGATGTATATGCCCTTACAGGGGGATGCAGGTTACCAAGATGTAATAGACTGCTCATATGCCCTTTTCAATGTATGTAAAGTGTAAACCTCATTGTGTTCATTTACGTCATTTTACATCACGGGAAACAAAAAAGTTAAGTAAAAAATTACAGTGGCTGCATTTGCTTGACCAACATTTATCAAGACTGTCCGGGCCTAAAGAGGTTGCATAATTAATTTTGACATAATCATAACTTAAATCACATCCCCATGCTAACCCTTTTCCTGGTCGACCCCCTGTTCACGTTCCACCCAAAATAAATTAGGTTGATTCTGCTCTTGTTATGCACACAAGTGTATTTTTCATCATTTCTTCTCTCTAGTTTTATCTCAGTGACATGATAAATTAGGTTAATTTCATTCTTGCTTTAAATAACATGTTTTGAACAAGAGTAATATTTTAGGTCATATTTAAAAATGATCAAAATAACCTTATTTCTGAACAAGGGTATATAATACATAATTACAATAAGAGAATAATAGATAACTCAAAATAAGGGCAAAATGTTCTTTATCCCGGAAGACAAGATAAAGAACGTGTTTTGTGTATCTATTTATAGTACATATCTTTCACATAACATAAACAACTCTTTAAATTCCATGCATCGTTGACAGGATAATATTTAGGTATAGTTAGTTGTGTACTGTTTCCATGTTACATAATTGATCAATACCTCACTAAATTGATCATCTTTTACAGCCGATTTTGGTGTACTTGTCCAAGGTTGATGGGAGATTCAATTTTAGCCCCATTAGTGTTAACTTTCTGACAGAAGTTGCAAAAGTTATCTTTGCACTTGTCATGCTTCTAATACATGTATGTTCTTCATTTCTTAATTTTATTATATTTATCTTCTGCTTTTGTTTTGGAAAACTTTTGTGTGACCTAAACTTATCTTTCATCTGTTTACACCTGAATATATATATATATATATATATATATATATATATATATATATATATATATATATATATATATGATGCTAACTTGTTGGCCTAGTTATTAGGTATTCTGCTTTCATTATTTGCATGTTATCTTAATTGATTTTTAAGTTCTGAACTTAGTGTAGTACTTTTTTCCCTTATTCCTTACAAGTTGCTAAATTCTTTGTTAATTTTCAGGCAAGAAATCAGAAGATTGGAGAGAAGCCACTTCTTTCTGTCTCTAGCTTTGTACAGGTAAATTTGCCACATTTTCCTTTTTGAGTCTAAATATTATGCAACGGTTAGGCATCTTCCAACAACAAAGTACTCATTATATTCTTAATGATTCCAAATTCTACTTTATGCTAGCTATAAAATGCTTAAAAGTTAAAAATTTATACTATATCTTATAACCTATAGAATAAGTTCATTTTTTTTATAAAAGCAACAACAAAGCTCATGCTCATGTCTTTATGTCTGCCATGGTTTTCTGCAGGCAGCTCGCAACAATGTGCTTCTTGAGATCTATTATAAGGTTACTTCTCTCATGGCCAATAATATATGTAGTTGCTTGATTTTTTATTTGAGGATCATAAATGAACTTTATAATAATGTGTACTTGTCTTAATCGTTTCCTGACTGCAGAATTCAACCGGAGGATCAGAGCTTAGCACTAATTAATGTAGGAATTTTGATAACATATTTGCTACCATTTGTTTGTAAATTTTTGTTACAACTTCTATTAATTTGTTTTATCTACCATGGAACGTTTATTTGTATGACATTAAATTTATGCAATGGATTCTATTTTTGTATATGATATTTTATTATCTATTATTAAACATTAAATGCAAATTTAATTTGAAAATAAGCAAATCTATAGATAATATTTTTTTTAAACATTTAAAATTATGATACGCAAAAATGTTTGTCATCCTCATTTATGACATGGCCTTTCTTAACAGGGGCTTTCTTGATACGCATTGCGTGTCATTAACACGCGCGTCGTAAGGTTACGACATGCGAATGTGTGTCATCTTCTTTTATGACAGGGCCTTCCTTGACACGCATTGCGTGTCGTAAACGCATGTCATAATTGCGCGTCGTAAATGAGCGTCGTAAATGCGCGTCATCTCTCTTTATGACAGGGCCTTCCTTGACGCGCATTTGCATGTCGTCTGAGCCTTTTACGACGCGCAATGAACGTCGTAAAAGGCTGTTTTTCTAGTAGTGTTGTCAACTAGAACGGGATATCAGTTGATCCAACCAAGGTGGAGGTCGTGATGAGGTGGGAGGTCCCGAAGTCTCCATCTGAGATTTAGAGCTTCCTGGGGTTGGCAAGCTACTATCGTAGATTCATTCAAGACATCTCCAGGATAGTCGTACCTCTGACCAGGCTGACAAGGAAAGTTGTGGTCTTTCGATGGGGTCCTGAGCAGCAGACTACATTTGAGACATTGAGACGGAGATTGTGTGAGGTGCCAATCTTAGCCCTGCCAGAGCGCATGGAGGATTTTGTTGTGTACCGCGACGCGTCCATCTCGGGTTTGGGCGTAGTTTTAATGCAAAGAGGGAATGTCATTGCTTATGCTTCCAGGAAGCTGAAGCCTCACGAGGCGAACTATCTGATGTATGATTTGGAGCTGGGGACGGTTATTTTTTCCCTCAATATTTGGCATCGTTACCTTTATGGGGTTCGTTTTACCATTTACACGGACCACAAGAGCCTGAGGTATCTTATGGACCAACCGAATCTGAACATGAGGCAACGTCGGTGGTTAGATGTGTTGAAGGATTATGATTGTGAGATCCTTTACCATCCGGGGAAGACCAATGTTGTGGCCGACGCGCTTAGCCACAAGGCAGCGCCGATCAGGGGTATCTGTATGAGGATGATTGTGGTGGCTCCGCTTCTGGAGCAGATCCGAGAGGCCCAACAGGAGGCTATGAAGGAGGAACATCGGAAGAGCTATCGTATTATGGGTCCAGTTTTCTCTTTCGATTGTCATAGCTGAGGGTTGTTGACCCTCCACCGTAGGGTGTGGGTCCCCTATCATGGAGGCGTGCGTTAGACATTAATGGAGGAGGCGCACAAATCCAGGTTTTCTATCCATCCCGGAGCGACGAAGATGTATAGGGATCTTCATGTTGACTATTGATGGCCCTGCGTGAAGCGGGACTTAGCATGGTATGTGGAGCGCTGATTGACCTACAGGAAGGTCAAGGCCGAACATCAGAGGCCACACGGCAAGATGCAGCCGTTGGATATTCCCATGTGGAAATGGGAAGATATCACCATGGACTTCATCACCAAACTTCCCAGGACCGTGCGGGGAGTGGATTCCATACGGGTCATTGTGGATTGGTTGACCAAGAGTGCCCATTTTATACCGATCCAGGAGAGTATATCGGCCGAGAATCTGGCCGACATCTACATTCGAGAGGTGGTGGCGAGGCATGGGGTGCTAGTGTCAGTGATTTCGGATAGGGATGTGCGGTTTACTTCCAGGTTCTAGAAGAAATTCCACGAAGAGTTGGGTACTCGTCTCCATTTTAGCACCGCATTTCACCCGTAGACGGATGCTCAGAGCGATCGGACCATCCAAACTCTAGAGGATATGTTGCGGGCATGTGTGCTAGACTTCAGTGGTAGTTGAAACACTTACCTCCCATTGGTTGAATTCTTCTACAACAACAGCTACCACAAAAGTATCGATCATCCTCCCTTTGAGATATTATACGGGAGAAAGTGCATGACCTCGATATGTTGGGGTGAGGTTGGCCAGAGGGTCTTAGGGAGCACCGAAGTGGTGCTCAAGACGACAGAGAGGATTCAGCAGGTCAGGAGCAGGATCTAGACTGCACAATGTCAGAAAAGCTATGTCGACAAGCATCGTGTTCGGTTCTCACACATGTTCAGTTCGCGGGTTTTAGTCTCGCATGTGTTCACCCTCGGAAGGTATTCGGTGCGCAAGAGTTTGCGGTCAACAGTCCTTTTGGTCAGCGTGTGCGAGTCCTTCGATAGCAACGAGTAGATTAAAAAAAATATGGGCAAGGATTCGAACACGGGTCTCCCATACTCTCAGCCCACCGCCTTACCAATCCATCTAGCAAGCCTGATGTTACAATTCTTCCCGATTTAATTCAAAAAGACTCGCTGTTTCGATCCTAGTTTCTCATTTTTAACAATTTTGGCCCAAAATTAAATTTTTCAAATTTTAAAGTTTTATTTTCAATCTAAAATTTTGGTTTTTAATTTTTGACTATCATTTTTGACTTTTAACCTTCAAATTTTAACTTTAACTTTCAAGTTTGACATTTGACTTTAAACTTTAACTTTCTCATTTAACTTTCGAATTTTCAAATTTAGCTTTTTGGTTTGACTTTTAAGTTTGACTTTTGAGTTTTTAGTCAAAGGGCATTTTTGGTAAACAATCAGTTCCTCAAACATCTCGATCAATGAAGTTTCATGTTCTCAATCTTATGAAGCTACAATTAAATTTATTCGTGAACAAAATGATTTACAAAAAAGGAAAAATGTGGACCTTAAATATGAAGGATATACTCTTAGGAAGGCCCAAAAACCCTTAAAAACACAACTAGAGGCCAAAACTAAGGATTTTCGAAAACTTCAAGATGAATATAGCAAAGTGCCTACTGCAAGTGTGCTTGTGGGAACAATTAGAGACAAGGCAAGCTTATGTCACTAGGGGCAGCCAGAAACAAATCCTATGTGAAGAATTAGACATGTTTTCATTGTGGAACACCTGGATACATTGCCAGAAATTATCCAGATCGCACATACGTTCTGTAACACCCGTAGATCGGGGCTAGTCAATTTAGAGACGATAATTATCAAAAATGGCTTTTTTATGGAATATTATTTAGAAGGATTAATCTTAACTAACTTATAGTATATGTTACAAGGATTCCGTACATATAAAGAACGCCGAAATCCGAGTTATAACGAAGAAGTTATGACCTGTCGAAGTTTCGCGACAGAACCGGCACGACACAGCGCGATGTAAATAGTGAATTTATGTTAGAGCAATATTTGGCCTTAGCAATCTAAATGAAAGTTGTAGAATACGTTAAACCAAGAGCGTGCATAAAAAGAAAGTCTAAATCTAACTTCGTATGAGGAAGTTATGATTTTTCGAAGTTTCAGCATTAGCAGTATGCAGCCCGAAGTTCGAATATGAGATCGAGTGATTTCTATCCAAAACGATCTAAACGAGAATTGAATATCTCATCAATAGTAGTCCAACGGTAAAAAGACAGACGAAAACGGACGTCAGATGAAGAAGTTATGAGTTTATAACGGAGTTTTCCTGTCCCGACCTACTAAAAATAATATAATAAAAATTAAGCTCAAAATTAGCCAATGAAATCTAAATGAAGTTGTAGATCTTATTTTTACCTACGCGTGGAAAAAAGAACGTCAAAAACGGAGTTCGTATGCTAAAGTTATGAATTTCTAAAGTTCGAGGCGCGAAACCCCAAAACTGTCATAGTTCACGACGTGAATATAGTGTTCACGGCATGAACTCAGTATTTATGACTTCTGGAGCCTGACAGACGCAAGTTGCGATGACGCACCTGATGACTATTGAACTCACGATGTGAATATTTGATATTCACGACGTGAATCCAGGAAAATGGCCCTATAAATAGAATTCAAGGGGCAGTCGAGTTTGGTTGGTCAATCTCTTCTCTCCCATTCCCGATACCCTCTCTAAGCCCTATTTTAACCCCTGAATCCATGGTATCATCCCGAGACCCGAAACAAGTCCTGAAGCCCGAAGATCCCCAGGAGAAAAGAGTTTCCAAGCTGAATCTCTGCCCGCGAGAAGCCCGGTGTGCAAAGTGACCCCGGTTTCACCGAAGAAGTACTACTATTAGAGCCATAGTGCTGTCCGATCATCTTCTAATCAAGTGAGTGTATAGTCCCTTTCATAAACATGATTTTAATACAAGTATTGTTTGAATGTATTAAGTATATGTTTTGGGTAAGTATGTAGTTACTTTCTTCTAACACATAGATATTAAGTATTAGCTATGAAATACGTGTTATGTGTTTATATATTGTTTGTTTATTTGAGATGGATGTTGGATGAATGTTTTATACATGTTTGTATATGATTTAAACTATATATGTAATTTATATCTACAAATATGTTGGGTAGAACATGGGTAGATGAAATAGTTAGTGTGTGATGAAATAATGTGATAAGAGATAGATGAGGATGAAATGATGATGATAATTAGGTGATGATATATACGCAATGAATTACGAGTCCAGGCGATGTTGTGGTTGCGTATTCATGCGATTATAGTCTAACCCTTATTATGAATTACAAGTCCAGGCGATGTTCTGGCTGCGTATTCATGCGATGATAGTCTAACCCTTACTATGAATTACGAGTCCAAGCGATGTTGTGGCAGCGTATTCATGCGATGATAGTCTAACCCTTATTATGATTTACGAGTCTAGGCGATGTTGTGGCTGCGTATTCATGCGATGATAGTCTAACCCTTATTATGAATTACGAGTCCAGGCGATGTTGTGGCTGCATATTCATGTGATGATAATATAACCCTTATTATGATTTACGAGTCCAGGCGATGTTGTGACTATGTATTCATGCGATGATAGTCTAACCCTTATTATGATTTACGAG